ACTGGGGCAAGAACTTCAGGTCATCAAGTAAGAGTTCCCTTACAGATTTCCGAGGGTTCAAGATGTTTAATATACAAGCAGCGATTGGATAGCGAGGGCTTTCCGCTCTTTCCGTTCGTCCAAACATTGATGGCCAGCTCATCTTAGTTGTGAGTCCGTTGCAACGGCTCTCATCCGAGCCCCTTGTTCAAATGTCGATCTTCAACGTTAGTCCATTTTGTGGCTTGAACCCCTGGTTTCTATGGTCTCGTACATGAACTACTTTCCCGGATCCTCCACGAGCCGCAGTTCGCGTCTGGCTTAGCGGCTGGCCGGGTTGCCGAGGTCATAGCTTCTTGCAGATTAAAGTCTGCAAGCTCATCGTCGGCTTCGCAAAGTTTTGGAATTATTTCAACGGGCTCTTTGTTCTTGTTCTCCGATTGATATTTTCGCGGTCCAAGATTCACTTTGGAGTCAACATTAGCGCGCAGTCCTTAATCATGACAAAGCAGTCGGCAAAATCGGAGGACAGCAGCCTTAGCGCATTGATCTCCAACTCAATCTGAATAATGCAACCTTGAGAAACCCAACCTTATTTTCGCAAGCCTGAAGGCATATTTGCGTCTGGGAAAAGGCCGATTCAAGTTTTTACCTTACAGTAGCTCGCCTGTCACACCAAACTCAATTAATGCCCCTAGATGAGGTCGCGCTTGATGAACATTTCTGCTTCAGTGCTCCCTGATGCGGTGTTCTCTAACGCAACGATCAACCTGCACTCAGACACACTGTAGCAATCAGAAAACAGACGGGAGATATCGACGGTAAAAGCCATCAAAATATAAATGAGTGAAGAATGATGTAAGCCGGACGATGATTTTTACTTATTTCACGTGATGCTAACTTGGTGCGGCACACTCCATTATCAGATGGCAGATGGCCCGAATATGAATCCACAGACTCCGAAGACACGGACCTACGACGATTAACATCGTACCATTTGCCACGCAATTATTCACTGTCTGTGCCTTGACAAACTGCGTTCAAGCATGCTACCGTTTCTTTCGTCCCTAAAGTCAGCGAGTGAAGTATTAACAGCATGATAGCCGAGGCTCTTTTGTAAACATAACGGCTCTAAACAACCGTCTGGTCTCACAGGTTCAACCAGGAATTCACATATGCCAACATGGGGTATCGTCTCTCACGACGAGGAATGAATCATGGAAAAGTGTGGCTCGTACCTTGTGTCATTGTCATTGGCCTATCGGCGGCTCAACCTTATTGGGTTGCAATGCCAAGAAGTTCCACGGCGTAACCGAGCTGCGCAATCGCATTGGCGCGTACGGGCGTTCCTGGATCAGGCAGGTCGCGATAGAGTCGTAATGGAGCAGAAGAAAATATTGGCTCTGGGCTTCCTCATTAAGTCTCACGTCCCCGCGTTTCTGGTGAGCCTAGTACGCGTCGAGCTTAACTGACAGTGGCTCCGGTCGGTGAGCTGCTGGCAACATCACCAGCTTCCTTATCTATCGCCTTGGCGTTGATCACGCGAGCGAAGACATGCGTCGCTTCCAGTTCCGTGGTTGAGGGAAGTCTAAAAGGCCAACGAGTCGCTGCTATCCAACCAGCTTGTTGGGAACACCTCCTCGCTCGTCCGCTCGCAAGTTCTCGTTTACCAGCCACCACAAGGCAACTCCAAACCTTGGGCAAGACCCCACCAGTCGTGTAGTGACAGTCCGCAAGATGAAGACGGCTGCTCTCGCATTGGCCGTGCCGGCGCTAGTCAGCGCCGTCAAGTGCAAGCCCTACGTCGAGTCCGAGAAGCTCCAGGAGCTCATCAACATCGAAGACCTCCTCGCCGGCTCCCAGAAGCTCCAAGATATTGCGGACGCCCATGAGGGAAATCGGGCCTTTGGTGGTGGCGGTCACAATGCGACCGTAGACTGGCTTGTCGAGGAGCTTGAGAAGCTCGACTACTACGACGTCTACAAGCAGCCTTTCACCGAGGCATTCGCCGGAGCCAAGGCGACCCTCTCCGTCGCAGGTGATGCCATTGACGCCCGTCCCCTGACGTACACACCCGGCGGAACTCTGACTGGCGCTACCTTGGTCAATGTGGCTAACCTTGGCTGCGAGGCGTCGGACTACCCTGCCGAAGTCTCTGGTGCTGTTGCGCTCGTGTCGCGAGGCACTTGCAACTTTGCGGTCAAGGCTACGCTTGCCAAGTCTGCTGGCGCTGTTGGTGCCATCATCTACAACAACGACGTTGGCGCGCTTTCAGGAACCCTCGGCGCGGCTTCGGATGGTTACGCCCCGACCGTGGGCATTACCCGCGAGGAGGGACAGACCCTTGTTGCCTCCCTTGCAGCTGGCCAGGAGCTTACTCTTGATCTCAATGTTATCTCCATCATCGAGAACCGTGTCAATTATAACGTCATCGCGGAGACGAGAGGCGGAGACCACGACAATGTTCTCATGATCGGAGGCCACTCCGACTCTGTTTTTGCCGGCCCCGGCATTAAGTGAGTTAAAACCACTCTGAGATACGATCAGAGAGAGGAACTAACCAAGGTTCACTTCCAGCGACGATGGTTCCGGTACCGTTGGTGTTCTCACCGTCGCCAAGGCCCTCACCCAGTTCACCACCAAGAACGCAGTTCGACTTGGATTTTGGGGCGCGGAGGAGTACGGCAAACTTGGCTCCTACTTCTATGTTAAGTCGCTCAACAGTTCTGAGGAGGAAATCTCAAAGATCCGAGCATACCTTAACTTCGACATGATCGCCAGCCCCAACCCCAAGCTCGCCATCTACGATGGCGACGGCAGTGCCTTCAACTTCACTGGCCCCGCCGGCTCCGATGTCATTGAGAAGGACTTCGAGGAGTTCTTTGAGTCCAAGGGTCTGGGCCATGTACCCACTGAGTTTAACGGCCGCTCCGACTACGCCGGCTTCATCGAGAACGGCATCCCGTCTGGTGGATTGTTTACTGGAGCAGAGGGCCTTAAGACGGAGGCTGAGGCCGCGCTGTTTGGTGGCGAGGTTGGTGTTGCCTACGACGTCAATTATCACTTGATCGGCGACGACATTACCAACCTGGACAACGATGCTTACCTTATCAACACCAAGGCCATCGCTCACAGTGTCGCTAAATACGCCATGAGCTGGGAAACCCTTCCTGCTGTTGAGTTGAAGAAGCGCAGGTGGGCTGCAGACACGGCTCAGCACCTCAAGCGTGCTGCTGAGTTGACCGGTCACTCCCACGACGGACCCTGCGGTGGCGGCTCCCATTTCTAAGGAAGATGCACCCGAGGGACTGACTCCTACGAGGGGGTGTTACTCCAACCGTGGATACCTAGCCTACCCTCGGCTTAAAAATAGATGAGAAACGAATGGATGACAGACTTGATATTATTTCCCTTCCTATTGCGTGACCAGATGCATTGTGATATTGTTACAGGCTTGCCAGAATCCTAGTAAACCGAATCCTTCGCCTGTCAGCATCGGACGACACTCTGAGAGCTTTACTCGTCGATTAGGCAGTCTTTTCGACCAATCAGATTTCCCAGAGTTCCCCGTTCTTTTCTATAGTAAGTGATAAATGGTACTTTTGTGGTACTTTTGCACAACCAACTCTGCAACATCGCTTCATACATGTTTAGAAGGAGCCAAAATATCGTAGTGACGGACAATGGTGGTAAGGCTAGATGAGCCTTGATTATCATGTCGGAGGGTGCCTCCGCATCCGCGACAAGACATGGCTAGTCTGGCCTCATGCATATCTCGGCTATCGCAAAAAGGTCATGTGGACACCATCTTCCAACTGTTGGAACTTGCCATGCAGTTGTCGAGCAGCCCACTCAGGAGTCTTAACCCATGGCGTCTTTTTTGTATGCCCCATCTTGTCAGGCAACAACATACTGTCCCCTAAACTAGATAGCCTTATTCAATGAGCCCAAGACATGACTGCATCATCGTGTTCTTACTAACGGAGGCGGAGCAGTGCGGCGCAGACTTGGCCGAGGTCCAGGCAAGGAGCAATTGAGAAATATGATCGCACCGGATAAGCAGACTCATCACATTCCTACACCAATCACAACCTCGAATTGACATCATCCTCCAGCTTCAAGGCCTATAGCTGGGTCTACGGCCGCCAGTCAGCCGCCCCCCTTGTCTCCTGTTGGGGGCCGCTTCTCCCCAAAGAAACCCTAGAAACACCGTTGGTTAACCCCTGGAACGGGCGCGAACCCTGGTTTTCCAGTCCCCGAAGAAGGTTAAGGGCCTTTCCGCCGACAAGGAGCTGGAACACTAGGCAGGCTCGCATTCCGTCTTCTTCGCCGGGCATCTCCGGCCGATGATGGCGAGGCCAAATCCTTCAGCATTGGCAGCACTGCAGCAGGCTGTAGGGCGACCTATGAGGCTCGGGCTTGGCACCTAGTGGAACACCGGTCACCACGGACTTGAACAGGGTGCGGCGAACACAACCACTTCCGCGATCTCACCGGTCAGTTTCGTGGGGGCCGAGTCTGAATCTTGTTTCCACTTTAGTTTAGGCAACCCTTCAGTCCTTCATGAGGAACCGGATCAAGCCCAGTTGCACTGCATGTCTCGACTTGATGGCTCATGGCAACTTGCATAGGGCTGCAGCGGCTGTGTCGTATTGCTGCCCAGACTAAGAGGGTCGACGGTAAGTATCTTCGTACTTCGTACTTCGTGACTGTGCCTCCTACGCCTCAACTCTCCAGTCATCTCGTTTTCGCACCGCATCCTCGAGAATGTTGAAAGGAGTTCAGTCATGTAGCAATATATAAGAGGCTGTCTTCTCTTTGTTCCATTGTGTTTTGTCTCCGTGAGTATCAAACAACTACTTAGCATCTCGGTCATTCGCCCACTTGAGCCTCTGTATCACGATAAGATCCAGCTTGAAGACCTCCACTGCCTCTTTGCAACAATATCCGCATCTGCCACAGCGAGCTTTCCCTTTTTTGTCAAGAGATCTTTTCTGATTTCCTGATATCCTTTGTTCAAAATGAAACAAGACACCATTTTGCCGACCCATGGACTTATGCCCAGTAACCCTCCTGCCCGACGCCCAGCTGGACGTGTGCTCTTGATAGCTTTCTTAACCAGTATCTTGGTCCTATCTTTCCTCAAGGGCGAGACTATTTTATCAGCAGTAAGTCCACCTTTAGAGTTCTCCTAGCTTGTACTATCCCTGAGGCTTAGCACTTTCACGACGCTAACTTGATGGTTCCACCAGATCACCGAAAATGCTAAGAGCTGCGAGCACAAAGATCATGGGGCAACAAGTATTGCTGCGCTTCGTGTCCGAGATCTTAGTCGCCTGCAGGAAGACGCTGCTGTCTCTACAGATGGTCGATCTGGGTACAACCGTCGTGATGAAACTGCTATTACCACCGACGGTCGCTCCGGATACAACCGCCGCAGCGAAGACCCAGTCATGACTACAGACGGACGGTCTGGCTATAACAAGCGCGAAGACATTGCAGCTATTACGACAGATGGTCGATCTGGATATAACCGGCGCAGCCGCAAGGAGACATTAGATATCACCACGGATGGTCGTTCTGGGTACAACCGCCGTGAACAAGACATCACTACAGACGGACGATCTGGATACAACAAGCGCGAGGAGGCTCCTGACTCTGCAACTGATGGCAGATCCGGGTACAACCGTCGCGAACAGGCGACTGATGCCACTACTGATGGAAGGTCCGGATACAATAAGCGGGAGGAAGCCTCTGCTGTCACAACTGACGGCCGCTCGGGTTATAACCGTCGCGAAGAAGCCTCAGCCGCCACGACTGATGGACGTTCTGGATACAACAAGCGAGAAGACGCTTCTGCTATTGGAACTGATGGGCGCTCAGGATACAATCGTCGAACGAATGACGCATCAGCCACAACTGACGGACGATCTGGGTACAACAAGCGCGACGAGGCTCTTGATGCTACAACAGATGGTCGTTCCGGGTACAACCGTCGCGAAGAGATCTCGGACGCCACTACGGATGGAATATCGGGGTACACTGGTGTAGAAGATAAAGCTTCTAGAGTCAGTCGTCGCGAGGAGGTCGCTAGTGCCTCCACTGATGGACGGTCCGGATACAACAAGCGTGAGGAAAGCTCTGCTGTTGGAACCGATGGACGCTCAGGATATAACAAGCGCGATGAAGCCTCTGATATCACTACCGATGGACGCTCTGGGTACAACCGCGCAACCTAAAATTGAAGGAATATGATACCCTGTAAATACACTGCGCCATAGAATCAGATATAGATACATCGAGCTCAAGCTCCGCCGTCAAATGTCAATAGCTACCTACGCTTAGACTGAGACCATTAAAATGCTATTCTCAGTTTCATTACACGACTTCGCTTTCGGGATTTTTATTTTCGGACAGATCGCTCTTTTTGGAACCGCAGGATTGCCTACTCACACATATCCATGTCATTGACGACTAAGAAGACGTAGGCCTGAACGCAGCTAGGGAGATCCTGAAATAGGCCACCCAAACCTTTGGTGTAACACGACCGGACTCCCCCATATGTAGTACTTTACCTTGAATAAAGGATGGCTGTGGGAGTTTTAGGATCAGCCATGCTGAAAAGCCTGGCTGTGCAAAGAGTATCATGGAGATCCTTCAGTCTTGCGCTACCTTTTTTGAGGCTTTGAGTGCTAACGGATGCCAAACAGGAACAAGGCGGTATTTCATGTACCCAGTCTTGGAGCTACACTTGGCCAAGAGCCGCGCCCGCAAAGTCACGCAAGAAGTATAGATGGAGGACACTGGGTTAGAGGCCACATCGTACCGCCCGCGGTGGATCTGCTCTTGACCAGAGAGGTCCGTGTGGATATTACTGTTTTCATTCCGAACAAGCTGGTGTTTGACCAATCTGCCATGAGCAAAGTCTGCAGTCATCTCACGCTCATCAACCAAACCGACCCTTCTGCCACCAACTTCCCTGAACCTCATCGCCGGCCTTGACCTCTGTGACCGTACTCTTGGCCTTTCTCAGCGGGTCAACCTGGTTCACAATGAACTCGTCCATATATCGTCCGCCCGCTCCTCCTCCTTGATTAACGTTCTCTTGCCGAAGACTCGCTTCGCTGCCGACCCGCGACCTACGATCCGGCTCCATCTCCATGTCGTCCTCGAGTTCCACGCTTTCGAGCCTCCGGACTTCTCTCGTGACCTCAACCTCCTTGGTGACGAAGATACCGGGGAATCGTTGCCGCAGTACCGGCCAGAATATCGGGACGCTACTGGCAACCATGGCCAGGTCGACTTCGACAGCGGATAGGACGATGCTGAGGGGACCGTACCACATAGGGTCTAATGTCGGGCGGGTGGCAGATCGGTGCTGGATAATGGAGTATACTCGGACGACTGAGACGCCGTTGACGCTGTAACTTGTGTTAGCGCTCTTGGGATCCTTGAGAGTGATCGTTCGCTGTAGCGGAGGATGGGGGACAAAACGCACGCAATGCCAATGACCAGCAGTGCAAGCAGTCTCAACTTCGACTTGAGCGACTGTTGGGGTCTGAAGTAGAGAGGAACCGGAATGGCGAGCACCAGAACGTCCAGAGCAAAGTTGACCGAAGAGTGGCTCTCATATGTTCCCGAGAATATATCAGAATTGAGCGAGCCGTACGCCCAGCGTGTGGCCGGGATGGTCCAGTTCCAATACGCTGCGACTGGCACGCAGGGAACCCATCCCAAAAACGAGTAGGCAGTGGCCCATAAGCTGACAAAGATGATCAGGTAGATGCAAAGCGATCGAAGAAAGGATGGTCGGTCGAAGATGCGGAGGTATTGAAAAAGGAGAGAGATTTTGATAAAGGCGGTCGACATTTGGTAAGATGCGTTTGCAACGTAGAAGGTCTAAGGCGAAGTGTTCTTGGTTAGCATGTCGACATCATGGGTGACTATCGGCCGGTTTATTTCGTACTCGGAGGTAGTTCTGGACTTCTGTCGCAGAAAGGGTATAGATATGTCTTCCCATCCCATATTTGGTAGCTATCGATCAGAAAATTAGTTTCACGTCGACGAGACGGGGGAATTTGATGAGGTCCTACCAACGCAAATTCCAACAGATCCAGTTGTTGTGGTCAACTATGTTGAATTGTTCATTTGAGACATTATTCGTCATTGAATGAGTATATAGAGGGTTACACACCAACGATAATATCACGAAGCAATCATCCCATCCTAATGACTGAACCAACTTGGCCCGCACATACATCCGGAATGCGACACACATCCATGAGAAGATCTAGGCAACGTCGTTAGTCACGTTGAAGAGATGTCTTCGAAGAACTAGGAGCTTACCGCGAAGGCGATGACCACGCCCAGAATAGTTGCAGGCTTGTTCACCAAGGGGGTTGGCTCGCCCGAGTTATCAGCCGTTCCATACAGCGCATGAATTGTTGCTCCGTCCATGGTGATCACCACGGACCCAGACCAGACATTAGCTTAGGTAGGTCGAGGTTGACGTAAAAGGGGGCTAGACCACCAACTAGCCAAAGCCAAGTCAAGACGTCAAAACGGAAACGAATGAGATGTCACAATCGAAGCAAGCTCCATTCATGTCTCTCGAGGTTGTGGGAAGAAGAGGAAAAAGAAAGATAAACGCCGAGTCCCAAAAAAGAGATCGACTCTAGAACGATCTGACCTGTTCCACGGACGTGGTAATATATTCTGCTCACAGGAATGAGAAAACAGGCCTGGGCCATCGTTTCTTCGTCGTTCCCACTTTGACATATGCCGAATGCACAGATAAGACCGGGGAAGGCAAGGCGTAGACTTGGAAAAGGGTCCTGTCTCTCATGTTCCCTTTTACTCCACAGTCGAAACCATGCCCCCTTTTCCCACTACGCCAGGAAGATTGCAACAACAAAGGCTTGCACAACTGTTTTTGGTGGGCGAAGAAAGCTGGACAAGCATCATGTTCGCTCTGTGGCTCTCAAGCCCCGGCGGCCCACGATGCCGTGCTGATCTCTCTGTCTGGTCCTACTTGAAGGCGTCCGTGCGAATACAACCCCAACCCTCCCCCTAGTTGGACTAGTTCCCACCAGGAGCGACGCTCGCAAACCGCCTCCTCGAGTGGTCCTCCCATGTCCCCGGTCGTCGTCCGAATGAGTCTTCAAGGGCCAGAGAAACAGTTGGCCCCGGCAGGCAGGTGGAGGCTGTAAGTCCCGGATCATTCCAAAATCCAGTCTTCACAATCTGCAGGAGCTTGGACAGCCACGTTGTCACCATTCCACACCTTTTCTTTTGCACCAAAGTTGCAGACTAGTTCCCCTTCTGGAGTACGATCAACCATGTGCAAGCATTGCATCCAGGTCCAGAAACCTGGTCTCACATGCAACTAAGACATGCAGAGCGCGCCTGCGAGGCGCCTAACCTCGAAACAGCGAGCCATGGCAAGACATCCCACGAGGCACGTCTTTCTCCCCAATGCGCCACGGATTTGCCGCCGGGAAAGAGAAGAATACTGGAGCCAAGCCTGTGATCGGTGACACGCACATCTACAACGTTGAAGCCTGGAAAGGAGAGAGTGGGAGGAAAGGAAAAAGAGGAGATTGCAACCCCACGATCTCAAGATTCCGCGTCGCTGAAGTGAGAGGCGATAACACCCCGGTTCCTTGCTCTGCGACGAGACCTTGAGTCAGTGTAGCGCACATCATTGGGGGCGACCCGTGTGTTTCAGCGAGTTTTTGCGCCGTAAGCTTTCTTCTTTTCTGAACACTGACTGGCGATTAACAGAAAGAATTAAGAACTAAGATGCGCTTCGTGTGACGATTGTGACAACACCCCTTACTAAGGTATGCGACGAAGCCAAGATGCCATCGGGTCGTCCAAACTCGTCAATGAGGCAATAATGGTGTCCTGTCAAGCCAGGAAACTTCAAGTCGCATTGTTCAATGCATCCCACTCCTCACATCACTGTCCAGTCACCACGAGGTTGCGTTCGCATCGGCTACTATCCTGTCTGCTCGATCGCAGCGAGTCAAGTTCCCGAGACGGTTATAATTCTCGGTCTAAATGCCTTCAATAGTGGCAGAGAAATTCTGCCTCACTAGATTCATAAGCCACCATCAATGGCTTCATATGGCCTATAATTGCGCCGTCTTAAGACCGAAAGCAAGATCTGAGCCGGCTATCGCGGACGCATCCCAGGTCTTCCGGTTTGAAAAAGCAAGCCGCATCGCCGCACCATGCCGTGGTGTAGCGATTCAGATCATGACAAGTGACTTCCTCAGGTGATTGGCAGTTTCTAGTGAGGTGATATTGGGACACAGACCTTGATCCAAATCACCCACGTGGGCTCTGATGTTGGTTTCGCGTTGCAATGGGGGCGACGTGAATGAGGGGAAGATTTGCCGGTTGATACGGACGAGGTAGAATTCAAATTCCTGGAACTTTGAAGCTTTGGTGATCCTTCAATAATACTTGAACCTACGTGGTTGAGTTCCTATTCGATTTTTGAATGAAGCTATCGCCGTCGCCGGCTAACCTACAGATATGTCAACTAATTCTAGGTAAGTCGCAACGTATGAGAGCGAATTTTTGCCGGTAGGCGACAATACTTGATGAACTTGCAATGCCAGTCAGTGGCTACTCTTGTTGAAATGGAGCAATTGGATGGGGCTGAAGTGTGAGCTTCCACTGTCCTGATTGCTGCCGCAATCTCAAGACTTGGCGTGTTGGTCTCCGCCGTAAATCAGACCAATATCGAGATCCCCGGTGTGCTCGGACATCATTTGAATCAGATAATCAGACTCCTTGAAGTCCCTCAAAAGATGCATTATCCGAATCGCAGCGTGTCGTACCTAACATACTACGTAGTGAGCGTACCTATCTGGTGGTGACGACTACCTTACTTCACGAATCATTGCAGTATTGAGCCCATGTCATGTGCAAACTGGGCTTAAATTGGAGCAGTAATTCTCCGAGCGTCTGACTCAGGTCACAGTGGATAAAACTCTCCCTGACAGCTGTCAACGCAGGTTTGTCGCAAATTGCAATAAAAAAATTCCAGGTGCTTACGCCATATAGAGCACCGGGCCGGCGGGAAAAGAATCAGTCGTGTCTCTGATGACGAGATCGTGCCCGTGCCAAACGTTCACAAAAAAGACGAGGCGGCTAATTTGAGAGAACAAAACGACGAAACAAATTTGCCGAGCCCGCCAAGTGGGAAAGCCTGAACACAAAAACAGCATCAGCCCTCTGAAGGCTATCTAGTTTAAGTTTAAAAGCACGTTGTTACACGCGAACTGTGCCATCCAAACGAAGCTACGAGACTAAAGAGTCTAGCTTCTTTCAAAGTAGCTTTGGCGAGAAGAGGTCAACGGCAGGCAACTCTGTTGGATGTTCCAGCTTTATGCAACCCGAGCCGAATTATTTGCGGGAAGTGGGCGACATGGGCGATCATGGAACATGACAAGAATATCTTGGTGCCTCTCAAGAGGTGGGATTTCCCCTGGATACATATTGAAAACTCCCGTGGAATGGAGGATGGGGACGTCTAATCACTCCAAGCCTCCAAGGTACGGAGTATGGGTGCTGTATCAGTGGAGTTGGCGAAAAGTTGAGTAGTATACTAGTAGTATGCGCCCCTGCGTTGGCCAACTCCACTGCCTGGTGGGGATTGCCCAGCTGAAGATCGATGATGCGAGACATGAAAGGCGGAAAGTCTAGCTCAAGAGATCCTGACTTTTAACGAAACAACATGTCAGTCTCGGGCATCGAGCTAGCCAAGCTCTCTATCCGCAAAGTCTAGACGCACAGCGTGGCTCCGGACATCTCACCTCGAAACGTGAAATCGGGGCACCGGCTCCCACTGAGAAAACTCCCGATGAACTACGCGCCCGCAGCGGAAGCAAGGAATCGGGACCTTGAGCCGGTTTATCGGGAGCTGGGCCCCCGCGGATAGTGTCCGATGCGCCGTAGAGATTATGAGGGAGAGCCAGACTTTCACTGGATCAAAGATACTCAAAGCCTTGATTCCGAAGCCGTCTTTCGGATTGGACAGAGCCTCCTATTTTCTTTCCTCAGTACGGAGTACTGTGCGGTGCAACCTTTCCTTCTGAACTCAGTTGGGAGCTTTGACCGCGAGGGCTTCGAACCGCGAGGGCTTGGAATATTCTGCTCACCTCGTGGACCAGCAATCCTCCTTTTTTGACATTTCCCCCTCATTGACGTGGTAACCGCCACGAACCGTGAGTTCGTCTGTGGTTGTGATTGGGAACTCCAGGCCCAAGCTCCGTCTTCATATCGGAATCCTGACGTGATCATGAACATGGAGATTGAAGACCATGATCCCATGGATCATAGTCGACCCATCGAACCTATGCTCCCTACCTCCCTATCAACCATCAAGATACCTGCATAGGCTGCATTATTGCCTGTATCTCGACTCGGAGTTTCGGAAGTCACTACCCATTGCACACCGTCATCTTCGTACGCTCCATATTCATACAGGCACATACGTCCACAGTCATTGAATTAGCCAGTCAGAACAGTCGGAATGTCCAGCGTCACTCGGAAACCGGGAGGCAAGCCCACGAGTAAGTCACCACTCTCTTTTGCGCCCTGGTCCACGATCCAGAAAAAAGGGAGGCCCGAGCAAAGAGACCAGGTAGGGTACCATCCTCCCATGCAGCCTCTTGAATAAAATGTCCTAACAATGCCCCCATCCTACATCCTACAGTGACATCCGCAGCAACGCAACGGCGCAGCTTCCGTCCAGATACCGTGAGGTGATCGTCATGTCAACCGTCCCCGCCGCAGTGGCCGCACCAGAGACTGGAGTCTCCAAACCCGTGGTCAATGAATCGATGGTTCAACGG